GGCGGCAGGGGGGACAGTGCTGGGGAGGGGCCGGGGGCTCAGTGAGCACACAGCAAACACGAGGAAGCGTGCACATCCCAAGTGCAACTCCACTAACAAGTCAACCGAGTCATCTGTAAGGTCGGCCCAAAAGGGGTGCCCCCAAGTAACTTGTTCCTGGTGAGAAGCAGTACAGGGGGATATGAGGAAGAATGGAAAATGCTGGACTGTTCTGAGGAAACCCAAATCCATGCGTTTTTACCCAAGATGGCAAATATGAAATGCAACAATTTCTAGTAAATACCTTAACTCGTGAACCAGGTGCGCCGTAATTCTTGTTCCAGATCCTCCCAGGGGATGACCCAAAGCAATGGCTCCACCATTCACATTGGTTTTACTTGGGTCAAGATCCAAACTCTTCTCGACTGCTAAGTATTGAGGAGCGAAAGCTTCATTCACCTAAAAATCATCAAAACACAGATAAAAATCCTTGTTCATAAGTTGATTTTTACTGAGAATTGTCCAGTCCTACTGATGACTACTTTTGCTCTTTTTCTCCTATTTAAACTACCTGATGATGTTATTTCAATTTATCTTCAACCACTCTTTGTAAAGATAACAGGTTTGAAAATGGGTGTATTTAAGTCAACTGCATCCCTTGGAGAAAAGAAATCCTCAGCAATGTTATAAATGGGTACCTAGTAGAGACAGTGGGAGGTGGCCTACGGGTTCTGGAGCCAGAGGGATGGCTCAAATCTTGGCTGTATGCATGTTCTTTAAGCTCTTGACACTCGAGGTTCCTTCAATAGTAAAATGTGACTGTAGTACATCCTAGGAGTTATTGTCAAGGTTAAATGAAATCATGGGTATTAAGTGTCCGGTGTATTTCCTGACACATACCAACCATTCAGTAGATGGTTGCTCCTAGTATTATTATTATTAATATTATTATTATTATTATTACTACTACTATTATTATTATTTCCCAGTACTACTAGCCTTTCTTCTAAGAAGAAACTGACACACAACCAAGGATAAACCTTCAGAACCAGATACATAGAGGAATGGTTACCGTGCTGAAATTTGGCAGATCTGAAAAGTATCATATTGTATTTACTTAACAAGGTTGGCTATGAGAATTACCTTCCTTCAAGTTCATAGCACTATAGTTTCATATGATCTTAGCTAGAAAATTTTATAGGTAAGAAAATTGATTTTTTTTTTTTTAAAGATTTTATTTATTTATTTGAGACAGAGAGAATGAGATACAGAGAGCATGAGAGGGAGGAGGGTCAGAGGGAGAAGCAGAC